TTTAATTTATGTAAACTTTGTGTTTAAAAAGACCAAAAGGGGAAAAAAAAAAAAAGTGGGCTGCTTGTTACAAGGTGTACCAGAGCCTGGAGTCCAGTGTTTGCTGGTGTTCACTCAAGGTGAAAGCAAAATGGTTAAAACCTAGTCTCTTTTCTCACATCATCAGCCCTAGCAGAAAGCATTTGTGCTAGCCCACTCACCCCAACCCTGGTTCACGTAACCCAGCTCCTCTGTTTGTCCAGTGGCTTGCCACAATGTCTTTAAATGCAAGACTAAGAAACCCTGAGGGAGAAAAGGACTATTTTCAGTAGTATGTTTAAAAACTGTGGCTTGCACCTCATGCTGTAGGATTGTTTGGGTCCCTTTCCCCCCTCCTTTCTCTGGTATGTAAGGTTGTACAGTGGGAGGGGTATGTTACACTCTTCAGAGTTTGCTGGGATTCTTTATGTGCTGGTGTGTATATTAAAGAAACTAACCAAATGCTTGGGCACACAGATTCTTCTTCAGACAAGACAGGCCTAGGCACCTAGAAGTTCCTTTTGTACTACGGCAAATCCCATATCAAAATGTATCTTTTGTAAGCCTAACTTACACAACTAGAAAAAAGGAAGTCAGGGATGTGTACCTTACCCTTGAAGCAGTTGTGATGAATTTGCTGAAGAATTTGTTTCACACTCTTGAACTACCTTCAGAGATGCTTCCTATCTCAATATGACTCCCATCGTGTGTGCCTGTGTGTAAGGCTTTCTTAGATCAGTTTTAGTTGTCATCTTTCAGTCTGAAGTGTCCTTCTGTTCTTGCATTGAAATGGTGAGCCACATACTTCCCTTCCTTTCTTTACCCTCTTCATGCTTTTCCCTGCCATGCACTGGCTATTCACTGATCCTGGCACACTTCAACCTCAATCTCTTGGCTCCTTTCCTTGATGGTTCTCATTGTCCTCCTTTGAACCATCTAATTGTGCAGTGTCACTTTCTGTGGTGAGACCAACTTTGCACCTGTGCCATATTCACCACATGAGGAAAGCAGAGGCTCATTTGGCAGTAATACTGATTCTGCTTTGTCCGTATCAAGCAGAGACAAAATTGGTGGCTTAGATTTTTCTGCGTAACATTTAACTCATCAAGAAAGCAAATAAATATGACACTGGTAAGAGAAGGCTCTTATTTTCTTTTTCCCCACCTTTTTCCCTTTGCGGAAGACTGCTTTTGGAATACAGGTATGCTGACCATGAGGCAGGGAAAGCTTTGAGCTAGTCAAAGACCTAGCTACTGCTACAAGGTGTGATC